AGGAAAAAACTTTTATACAAAACTAATGTTTGGAATTAGAACTCATCAAGAAATTAAACACTACTTGTCATCCTGGCTTAAACACAGAATTGAATTTCCTTACTCATTACTATTTCCAATAGTTCTACAGAATCCACTTTTAAGAAACTTTAACTGCTGTTCCTAACATCTTTTATCATACGATAACCTTGTATTGATATGTTAATTTTCTTAAACTTCAGATTACTTCTTCCTGATTAGTTGTATTTATTCTACTTCATTGCTTGGTTTATCTGTACCTCCAGAGGGGCTGGAATCTCTGAGCCCCCTCATAATCCATTATGTGTAAAGACTAATTTTGTTCCAGCTTCTTACACAGATAATTACACTTGAAAAATTTGTGACAGGATTCATAGTAAACCTCTTTCTCTCAATTCCTCCTCCCCCACCTCTATAATTTCCCCTAGAATTCCCAAAATGATTTCCTCTTCACATATTTGAAAACATGAGCTCTGACTCACAAAAGCTCATATTAAAACAAATATTGGTCTTTATGGTACCACTGGACTTTTATTTTGAGATAACAAACACGGCTACCTTTCTGCATTGTCCCTTGACAAATCTATTCATATGCAAGTGATTCCCCCTATTCTGACAAACTTATAGTAAGGTAGCAATTAAGTTTTAAGTTGCATTCTACCAGTTGAAGAGCAATGTTCTATATGACCTGTGGCTCTCAGCCTGGGGATCGGGCCTGGAGACCCTGCATCATTCAAGATAACTTTAAACCACTAACTCGTTATGAAGGCAGAAAGCCAACAGGGGATCAGGGGATATCCAATGTTTTGATGAGAGAGCCACATGTACGATTATCTAACCACTGGGTGGAAATCATGAATGTGTGCTTGCTGCATGGACCCCGTGGTTCTCAGGGAGCAGGTTTATTCCCTTGAGGCTAGGGTTGCCAACCTGGATAAGCTGAGGTAGAAAGGTTTGGGGAAGAGACCTTCAGAGACTTACCAGAACAGACCCACTCCTGTGCTGACAGCTCTTCTGCTGTTCTGGAGAGTCTCGAGGTTGGAGGGCATCAGTCTGAGGAGGAGGGATGTGATCCCTTACTCCCTTCCTTGGGTTATGGACCAATATCCTCTTGTACAAAGGATACACCTGAGGGACTGGGGGGTGAGGTAAGCTTCTGGTAGTGGGTGATTCGTTCATTAGGAATATAAAGAGTAGGATCTGTGACAGGTGTTTTGACCACCTGCCTGCTTCATGTGAAGGTTGCAGACATCACATGCTGTCTAGATAGGTTGACAGATAATGCTGGGGAGGAGTCAGCAGTCATGGTGCACGTTAGTACTGATGACACTGGGAAATATAGTTGTGTGGTCCTGGAGGAAAAATTTAGGTTACTAGGCAGAAAGTTAAAGGCCAGGACCTCAAAGGTACATTCTCAGAAGTGCTGCCGGTTCTGTACACAGGACCAGCTGGGCAGGCACAGAATTCAGGGGTCTCAATGCATGGATGAGAAAGTGGTATCAAGAGGAAAGGTTTAGATTTGTTAGGCACTGGGGAACTTTCTGGGACAAGCTGAACCCATACAAAAGAGAACAAGGCTGCTGGCAATTAATATCAAAAAGGTGGCAGAGCAGCTTTTAAAGTAATCCTGGGGGGAAAGCTGACAGGAGCTGGGGAGCCTCCAGTTCAGGACAAGTCAGTCCGAAGAGTCACAACTCCAAGTAAGGAGGGGGAGATTTTGCAAGCTCTGTGCAAGGAAAGGGAACACAGGAAGGCAGGTAAAGGGGAAGGGGGGGGAACCTCTTGAAACTGACATGACTAGTTTGAAACTGACCAGAGTATTTCCAAAGCTGAAAAATTCCACCCCCTCCCCCATTGCTTTGAAGTTTGGTAAACATTTTGATTGAGCAAAGACTGTCTAGAAATGCATCCATTCATGAACCTCGAAGTAAAGTTTGAAAGTTCGTGGAAGGTTTGTGCTGGTTGACCTGCCATGAACTTCACTTCACAAACCAGCCAAAGTTTGTCACAAACTTTAGTTCATGAACCAGTCCAAGCCCACCTCAGTGGCTGCTGCTGTCAGATGAATAGGCTCTCTGTCCCAAACACCTCCTGCCTTCTGCTCTGTATCTCTGACATCTCAGATGCTGTTTCAGGGATTACATTTTCTACTATGCACGGGACACAGCATATACTAATGTTCTATATGATATATAATATATAAATAATATAGAATATAAAGTACTGGGTGGGGGGAAGAGAAGAAGGGAGAGTAGCAGCCAAGTTAGATGGATTGGAACAAACCAAGAAAATGGCTTTGGTGGCTTTGGGAAAGACTGTGGTGCTCCTACCGGTACTAACATCATCAGGGGTGTCATAAGCTTTCCAAGATAGTTTAGAATTGGAAGTAGACTGAAAAAATGGACAATTTGTCAGCTTTTTAACAAAAACTTGGTTTTATATAGTTAATTCCAAATCAAGCTTAAGGGAAAGTGAATAATTGTTTTGCCAAATTAGTTTTAATATGCAATCTGTGTTATATATACATCTGATGTTGGGGTTTTTACCAGCTGCCTGATTCGGCTCTTGTTTGTGGTATCAAGTACTGTTAACCTGAAAGTTTGAACTCTAAGTGACAAAAAAAAGAAAGAAATACCTTCGTTTAAGGTGTCAGCTTCTAATATCTTTCAATTACTTCAAGCAGCCAGTGGGTTAGTCACAAAATTTTATTTGAATATTCACCTTTGAAGTGGCTAAATTACTCATATTAATAAACACACTTTTTTGGTACACACCTAAGATTTAGCAGTCTTTCCATTCTGACTGATGAAGAGATGTGCACAGTTGAAAAGTTTGCATAGTCTCAAACAGAAGATGTTTCAGTGAAAGGCCACCTAACTGGGAATTATCCCATTTAATCTCATTTCTGCTTTGTTTAATTATTGGCACATTAACAATTCCTCAGTATTTCAAGATTTACAAAAACTACATTTAAAAAAAAATCAAATGCTAAAACTTAAAAACATGTACATTGTTATTCTGACATTAACACATCAATAAATAGCTAGAACTGCTTTTTAACAAAAACATATGTTTTCATGCAAAATAAGGCTACAATAATCAAAATCACATACTGAGAAGTCCCACAGAATGTTTCCTGTACTTGCCTCATTAAAATAACTGGGAATAATACTAACAGATAAGCTGTTTCACATCTTTCATTTCAAAAAGGTTTTTACAATATCAGTTCATGATGGATTGCATCCAAAGACTAGTTTTAATACCTGGTTTTTGGCTGCGGTCAGACATGCCTTTAGATTTGACTCAGCTGCAAATGCCTGATGGATCTAAAGGGCATGATCAGACAGCAACATCTGGGAAAAGTCCCACAGCCATTGGCACCCCGTGCTGCCCGCCATGAAAGCAGAGTTTAAAAACACCAGGGAAAGTCCAGTTTTAATGCTTGCCGACAGGCCACGGACGGACCTTCCCCTGTCCGATCGCTCAAGCATGCACTCAAGTCATCGGGATGGTCAGTGCCTCCCCCCCCTTGCTTAGCAGTAAGTGCATAACCGCATACTCCACAGGGAACCCTCCGTGCGGAGGTGCGATTCCTCATTTATGCGCATGGGAAACAAAAGGCAAAAACCCCCACTCGCCTGTATGTGCTATTTATTTATTTATTTATTTTTATTTTTCGTATTTATACCCCGCCCTCCCCCGTAGGGCTCAGGATCACGCAGTGACAGGCTGAGCCCACAGCTACAAAGGATGTATGCTTGCGCAACACCATGTCAATTTCCACCGGGGGAAATAGGCTCATTTCCCCTCCACACCAAATAGCACATCTGATCACAGCCTAAGTATTTCCATTTTGCATAGCTGAGTCCTGATTAAAGTTCCAAATTATAGGTGAAGCATCAAAAAGTGTTACTTGCTTCGAATACAATCATTTAAGTCTCTCCTCCCCAGCAGTACCAAAGATATTTTCTCAAATGACACTAATGACTCTTTGGTCTGGAATGTGTCACTTTTGAATGCCATTAGTGCAAAAGACACACCATAATACAAATAAAAAGCTCTACACAACCTGCATTTATGATTTATAGACCTGAGAAATGCAAAAACAGATTTAACAATCATTTGGGGAAATAGCCAGTGTTCGGGGGTTATTATCCATAACACCACTATCAGAAACTGTTATCCCCCCAGCTGTTATGTAATTACACAAATTTTAAAAAATCAGTTGCCTTATATGAAGCCAGATGAGCAGCACATTTAGTCCCATACTATCTACCCTGACTGGCAGCAGCTATTAGACATTCTCAGCCATTTCCTGAAGATATGCCATTCATTGAACCAATGATGTGCAAGGATGTGCAAAGCATGGGGTCTTCCCCTGAACCTTGGCTGCCTTCTCTCCCTATTTGATCTGAAGCATATGTTTCTAATCCTTTGCCCACTTACCTGGGAGTAGACCCCATTTAATACACTGAGAAATATTTATTAGTAAACATGCATAGGACGGTACAGCAAGGCACTGCTTTAAGGAAGAGTGCTTAAAGAGACCACCAATTATTGTGGAAGAAAGAATAAAAGGCAGAGGTTAGTTAGCAATACATTTCATCAGTATAATTTTGCTTCAGTTCAACTACTACTGGCAATAATATTTTCACAATGAGAAACACAGTCCGTTTTCATTGTATTTTCAGTGTGCCCTCTGGAATGTATCTATGTTAAATTAATAAAAGTAAATCTGTAAAACAAGTACTCAAAGAATAGTTGGGGGGGGTTAATTTCCGGTGAGTGTATTTCAAATTAAGTGCCATATCAGTTTAAAAGCTTCATATCAGTAAAGTTTTGAACTCACATTTATTTGAAAAGAAATCCGTATTAACTTCAAACAATGCATCAGTCACTTCTGTTTAGCAGACACATTTTATATCCAGTGCCATACATATAGCAGCATGTTTTATGTCTCCAGAACTGACATTGTGCCTAACCTTAAACCTGCCTAATTCTCATTAAACCCGTCCTTGCATTGCATCACCTATGGCTCCCCATACATCAAAGACAAATTCATCTGGAAATGCAAAATCTCCTAGAGCTTCATCAAGCGCAACTGCAAACTCATCTGGGTTGTTCTTGCCTTTTCCAGCTTCTACCATTGTTGCTGCTGAAAACAAGAAGAGAGAACATAAGATGAGTTATGTAGGTCCATCTAGTCCAGCATACCGTTTCACAGAGTAGCTATCCAGATGTTCTAGGAAAGCCTACAAGGTGGGCACATTTACTCTATCCCTGAATACTCAGGGCTCTGAGCAATGAACAATAATGATAAATTACATCAAGATAAAACATTTCCAACAATAGTCAGTTTAAATAAAACAATTCACAGATGGCGTTACCAATTTCTCAGCTGTGTCACTGATTCCTATAAACAGGGGAGACAGAGCTGGAAGGAATGGGGGGGGGAGAAAGGAAGAGTGAGTGCCAGCCAAGATGGTACCCATCGCTGTCCTTAGCCAAAGGCCTGGCAGAACATCTCTGCCTTACAAACCCTGTGGAACTGCATCAGGTCCCACAGGGCACAGATAAGAAGAAGATTGGATTTATACCCCGCCCTTCACTACTTGAAGGAATCTCAGAGTGGTTTACAATCTCCTTTCCCTTCCCCTCCCCACAACAGACACCCTCTGAGGTAGAAGAAGAAGAAGAGGAGATTGGATTTATACCCCGCCCTTCACTTGGAGTCTCAGAGCGGCTTACAAACTCCTTTCCCTTCCCCTCCCCACAACAGACACCCTGTGAGGTAGGTGGGGCTGAGAGAACTCTGACACAAACTGCTCTTTTTCAAGGACAGCTGTGCCAGGGCTTGTGACTGGCCCAAGGTCACACCAGCAGCTGCATGTGGAGGAGTGGGGAATCAAACCTGGTTCTCCCAGATTAGAGTCCGCGCCCCTAACCACTACACCAAACTGGCTTTTATGTTATTTGGCATAGAGTTCCACCAGGCAGGGGCCAGGGCTGAAAAGGCCCTGGCAATGGTCAAGGACAGCTGGGTGTCTTTTGGGTCAGGGTCCACCAGTAAATTGTTCTTGACAGAGCAAAACACTCTCCAGGGGATATATCAGGCGATCCCGGAGGTCCGTAGATCCCAGACCACACAAGACCTTAAAGGTCAGTACCAAATCTTTGAACTTGACCCAGAATTCCACTGGGAGCCAGTGCAGCTGACACAGCACAGGTTGAATGTGTGCTGTCCATGCGTTCCCGTCAAGACTCGTGCCACTGCATTCTGGATCAGTTGGAGTTTCCAGAGAGTCTCAAGGGCAGGCCAGCATAAAGCGAGTTACAGTAATCCAATTGGGAGGTGAATGTTGCATGGATTCCTGAGGCCAGGCCGGGGCAAGACAGGAAAAGGGCCAGTTGCTGCACTTGGTCCAGCTTGGCAATGTTTGTGACCTGGGCCTCCATAGATAAGGAGGTATCCAGGACCACACCCAAACTCCTGATGGCATCTGGAATTCAAACAGGCAGTGTCCTAAATCTGGAATTTCCAAACGGAGTTAGGTTTACCTAGTGCATTTTCATGGGCCTGAATATGAAATAAAAATTAAGTGGCCATTTAAGGCACTGGAAGATCAATCGTAAGCAGGCCTACTCAGAAGTAAGTCCCTTGTTTTGCTATGGGTCATTCTCCCAGAACAGTTTCCTCAGGATTACAACCTAACTGGATTGGGCCTGTTCAAAACCTATAGCCTATGAACTGGCTAAATGCAAACACGAACAAATAGCACCACCACCTTCCAGAAAATCCCCATTGACTTTAAAGAGAAAGCTCATAGAACATCTCTGAGGTCAGAATTTCTGAAGGTGTGGTAGCTTATTCTGTACATATACATCAGAGGGACAGAGAGCCCTAAAATGGATAAAAGACTGAAAATGCAGTTGCCCATAGGTGTTCATACAATCTCAAAAATTTAGCAGGAGGGATATAAGGATGAGAGTAAGCCTTTTAATTGGGTAAAAAGGCAAGAGTAAACTGGTGTACTTCCATCCCCTGAGTAATGGGAATGTAGATAAATGTGCTGAAATTGACAAGAGTTTTCAATCTAGGTATGGAAGAGCCAGTTGGCCTGAAACAGCTCATGCAGCTTCCCAGGGGGACTAATAGCACCGTGCCTTTCTCCCCAAAGGGGAACCAAAGTGGCTTATATTGTTCTCCTCTCCCCCAAATAAATACATAAATAAAATGAATGAAATATACAATTAAAAAGAAAAAGAATAAAGTATGTAACAGGAGAAAAAAGTCTAATATTCAACTTTCATTTAAACCCTTACTAGACTCAAATGTATTTTGTCTGAATTGTCTGAAAAGAAACTACAAAATTAGATCAGAAGTTTCCCAAACACTAAAAACCTATTTCTAATAGTTATTTTTATAATAAACAGAGTTTTAGAATCAACTTTATTTTCCCTCTAGTAATTACATTTATTAAGACTTTTTTTTGTAGTCATATTATGGTCCTCATTATTTTAAAACACCAAAAGGCTGATTTTAGTAATGTGTAGAAATTCAGTGGTCAAGTACTGACCTCTAGTGATCACTGACTGAACTGCTTTAGCATGGTAGATGTTTATGTAAATGATGGTAGATGTTTATGTCAATCAGTCTTTTCTCATACATATAAATGATTAAAATACAATGCAATTCTAGTGTCCTGGCCCCACTGCTGGACCTCCTGATGGAACCTGGTATTTTTGGCCACTGTGTGACAGAGTGTTGGACTAGATGGGCCCATTGGCCTGATCCAACATGGGCTTCTCTTATGTTCTTACATTTGATTACAGAACTATAGGTACAGTCAGTGAGACCAAGAACTGGTTCATATGTTCCAATATGTGGAAAAACCTGCTCATTCAAGTAGCCTACCTCAATGAGGAACAGAACATTAGAGGTAGAAATTGCTGTCAAGGCTGGCCTTGCTGTCAGACTGGCCTTGCACAAGAGATTGTTGATTTTCTATGATTGAGAACTTGCTCTTCTCTGTGAAACATTTCAATAAGTGGTTTCAATATTCAAAAACTACTTCCTCCACCCACCCTGCCAATGGCCCATATTTTCTGCAGCAAATGCATGTCAGTGCCATTTATGATTAGCAACCATTGATACCATTACACATAGATCTAGGGTTGCCAAGTCCCACCCAGCGGGGGGGGGGGGGGGGGGGGGCAGGGGGACTTACTAGCAGCAGGGTGAAGGCTTAGCCCAGCTTTGCAGTGATGTCATTCCGGTGCACATCAGGATGTTATCACATTGCCAGCAATGTGGGACACTCTGGAATTTGGGGGGGGGGGGGAACTCTATGGTAGAAGCTGGTTACCAAATACCAGAGCATCCCATGTCTCTGGAACACAATGACATCAGTTCTGGTGCACTTTGGATGTGGTATCACTGTGTTGCCGGTTACATCACTGCTATGAAGGTCTAGGCCTCCACCCCCCACTTCTAGTGAGTCCCCCTGCCAGCCAGCTGATCAAGGGCAGGAAGTGGTGACTGGGGGCAGGGGACCCTACACCTCCTGTGGGGGCTTGGCAGCCCTAGATAGGTCTAATACTTTTGATGGCTTCCAAGTAGGAGTGTAGCACTTATACTGGCCCTCATTTATACCATATGTTAAACACATGATGTTGGATCCAAAAGACCATATTTTGCTGGTAGGAGGCACTTCCGCCAGTAGAAAGAAAAAATGATATTTTTGCCAATTCTCCCATCCCATTACACTTCCTATCCCACTTTATCCCCCATACTGTTTGTGAGCGTCCCATGTCCCAACATGAGCAGTAATTTCCAAAAGTTTAGTGGGCTGAGATGAGAAGCAAAAAACTGGAAAATTCTGTTCTGTTAACAGAGCTCTGTAGGTGGTCCTTTAAATGCAAGTTCCATTGGTCATAATGGGACTTACTTCCAAGGGAAATGTGTTTAGAATACAGATTCAGGTAAGGGAAAAAATCCATCAAACACTGAACCTATTCTAAACTTTGAAAAGAAAGTTGCATGTGTTGCACAATCAGGAAACAAACGTGTTTTATATCCGCATCATAGAAACAGTGTGTTTGATCTGTGGGAATCTGTTGCTTGAATATCTTGTGCATTCAGAACTTCCCTTCCTTTGAGCAAACTGGTCCATGATGCAAATAGAAGATGCTACCAATGTTAAACTTTCACAGGCATATACACTGGTAGTCCTAGACAGACTTATATCCTTCTGACTCTGTTTAGGATTGCTCTATTAGAAATGCATTTAATTTTAAAAATGGATGCATTATTTCATTCATACTTGAACCCCAAATCACTCTGTCTGATTAATGGAGTTAGGCAAGCATTTTTTTCACTCACTTCTTCAATAGTTGTCTTTTAAACTTCGGGACTGAAAATTGTTTTATAGACATTGAAACTACCGGAGTTGCCAATTAAAAAGGATTAAAGTAAAAGAATTAAATTATCAATGGCATTGTAGGGGATTGTTTGGCTGCGTGGAGCTGTAGTGCTTTTTTGGCACCACTACATGGCAAGCTATGCTTATGTTTAGGGTGAAAGTGTTGTGACTTGCTCAAGGTCACCCAACTAGCTTCAAGTGGGGAAGTGGGGAATCGATTCTGGTTCTCCTGATTAGAGTCCGCCACTCTTAACCACTGCACCAAGCTGGCAAAGTCTTTTTCTAAAACAGCACACTGGTAACAGGGCAATGTTTAAGCTCTTTAATTATGTGTCTGTTGAATACATGTCACACTCATGGTATTTAGGCTTATCTACAGTGAGTAATAAAAATAAAATTACTAGCTGAACAGTAATTGGCATTATCAAAATGAATTTAATTTTTACATTTCATTCCCATGGGTGATTGACTGTATCTGCAATCTCTGTGTGAATTAACTGACATGTTCAGTGAGAGATTTGTGGCAAATAATTATTGTTCTTTTTTCCTTGAACAAACTTAGATTTGTTGGTTTTAAACACAGTAAAATATGCTTGTTCTGCTGTCTTGCTTAATTATGTAAAGTTGGTTCCACACGCTGTAAACAGTAGCATTTTGTAACTGGCTTATCCTTTAGCAGTGATTATATTTTATCTGTGGCCTTGGCTCTTGTACTGACTAAGGTGGTGAGTGTACAGCCCCCCAAATGAGCCTGCTGATACAGCACCCTTTGGGGGAGTGGAACAGGCCAAAATCTCTTCCATACTCATTCTTAAACTCACTTTGGCTTCTGAAGTCTGGTGGGGGCTAGGGATGGGGGCAGCGAATTCAGCCATTTAAGGCACTGCACCACCCCTGACTGCCCTCTTTGCCATGTGGATTTTTGCTGCTGGTTCTCCATCAGTTCGCTCTGCTGGTCTGAGCATGTGGACTCCACATGAGCTGCTGCATGTACACCCTGCAGCAGCTCATCGGTGGCACTCATCGGTGGCATACGACCAGCAGTCCGGGTAGCACTAACATATCTGAAGCATGAGTCCTGAGCATGAGGTGAGGCAGACAGGGGGGATTTGGGCATCCAGTTAGATTCAGTGCATGGGGCATCCAGCTTGCTGGATAAGAAGCTGCTTGCACTGCAGGCATTAATTACTCTAGTGTTGTCCCATGCCAAGTATACGTTGAGGAAGCTGCAGTCCCTGGTGGGCCATCTTAACTTTATCTTCTGAATGGTTACACTGGGCAGGGTCTTCTGTGCATGCCTGGCACAGGCCACGGCAGGTGCCTCTGCACCGCATCACCATATACAGATTACTATGGGCATGAAAAAGCTTTTCTCCTCAACTATAATGAGGCCACCAATTCGGCAAAGAACACTGGAGGTGGGCAACAGCATCCAGATCCATTCAGATACAGTGGGCAACAGCGGCTTCGAGGTGTATTTCAATAGGCATTGGTGTGCCAGTCAGTGGCCTGAACAGTGAGCAGGGACAGGCATAGAGTGGGATCTCACATTCCTAGAATTGTTTCCTATTCTCATAGCTGTGGTCATATAGGAGAAAGAGGTCCAGAATAAAAAGGTCAGGTTTTGATATGACAACCTGGCAGTGGTGAGGGTTGTTAATAAGCAGACATCACACTCAGAACGTGTCATGCACCTAGTGTGGAAATTGGTACTAGTCTGCCTATTAGCCAATATAACGTTTTCTGCTTGCCATGTAGCAAGCATCAATAACAGCATTGCAGATGCCTTCTCTCATCTCCAGGAGGAGAGGTTCTGTAGCCTGGCACCGGAAGCCAACTGTTACCCAGACACATTTCCCGAGGAGCAGTGTTCCCTCTAAGCTGAGTTAATATGAGCTAGCTCACAGTTTTTTAGCCTCCAGCTCACAGATTTTTGTCTTAGCTCAGGAAGGATGGCTTCAGAGCAAACTAATTTATGCAGTAGCCAAATTGCTCACTCACAACTTTAATGCCAGTAGCTCACAAAGTAGAATTTCTGCTCACAAGACTCCATAGCTTAGAGGGAGCATTGCCAAGGAGCTCTGGGAGCTTGGGAATCTACCATAATGCAAGGGGTGTTCCATTTAGTTGCCCCATCCACCTTACATTTGTATGCAGCAGCTGCCTTGCTGCCGTTGGCTATCTGGATGACTGGCCAGTCTTGCCTGAGATGGTTCTACAATACATCCCCTACTTGCATAAACAAGGCCTCATGCCCAGAACTATCCAAGGGCACATGGCTACCATTTCATTCTTTAACTAGGCCCATGGGTTCCCTGACCTATGCAATACCTTCAAGGCTTGCAAGGCGGTGGAAGGGTGGAAGTGGCTCTCCCCCAGGCACCTGACCCCCCCCCAATAGACCCCTGACAATTGAGATACTGACCCGTTTAGTCCGGCAACTGCTGATCTTTTAAGGTTCCACACACTTTAAGGATAAAATACTATCCTCCCACAGTTAATGAAGATTTGGGTTTTACAAAATCTGCTTTGCTCCTATGAATGTGATTAATTAAATGAATTTCTACCCTACCACTGGACACACATTTTTAAAAATTCATACAAACACACATAACATCAGCAAAAATAAATAAAATATACAATAAATAGTAGAACTATATATTCACACATACTCTATCCTTGACTGCTGAAAGAGAAAATGATTATTCCACTTTCAGGAAATGCTCCAATTTAGATTTTAGCACATCTCTACTGGGAGGGAACTAGAGATGATTACCAAAGTTATATAAATGCTTACCTAGTTCAAGGTCTCTTATTCCCATGTACATTTCTAGAAGATCATCCACCTTTTTGATAGCTTTTTCTTCAATATCTGAAGGCTTTATCAAAACAATAAAAGATAAATATAGAACTTTAGTGATACAAAATAGCTTCATTTTTAATGGCAACAAATCTTATATTCTAATAGCAAAGTTGGGAAATCTTTGGATACTTAAATCTGGTGCCTGGAGCTGTGAGTGGACAAGACATCTTTCTACAAACCTGAAAAGGGACCCAAGTTTGCAGAAAAATGTGAAATCTTTAAAAAAAATACATTTAAAGAACCTGAAAATGATAAAAGGATCACCTACAGAAGATTCCCTCAGTGGCTGTTGCTAGGCAACCACAGTGTTCCAAGACTTGGGTCTGTGCATAAAAGCAAGAAGGAGAGGACAGAGCCCTTTCCAGACCTATTTTGGCCTTTGAGGGATGGCATCTTGGGGCCAGGCCTGACTAGGGTTGCCAGCTTCAGGTTCAGAAATTCCTGGAGATTTAGTGGTGGATTCTGAGGACAGCGGGGTCTGGAGAGGGGAGAGGCCTCAGCTGAATATAATGCCACAGAACCCACCCTCTCCAGCAATCCAGAGCACTGTCATCTGGAAATATAAGGTTGTTGTTGTTCAGTCGCACAGTCGAGTCCGACTCTTCGCGACCCCATGGACCAGCTCCCGCCAGGCCCACCTGTCTTCCGCCGTCCTCTGAAGTTGGCTCAACTTCATGTTCGTTGCATCAATGACACTGTCTAACCATCTCATCCTTTGCCGTCCCCATCTTCTTTGACCTTCAATCTTTCCCTGCATCAGGGTCTTCTCCAGTGAGTGCTCCCTTCTCATTTGGTGGCCAAAGTATTTGAGCTTCAGTTTCATTATCTGCCCTTCCACGGAACAGTCAGGGCTGATTTCTTTTAGGATTGACTGATTTGATCTTCTTGCAGTCCAAGGGACTCTCAAGAGTCTTCTCCAGCACCATAGTTCAAAAGAATCTATTCTTTGGCGCTCAGCCTTCCTTATAGTCCAACTCTCGCAGCCATACATGATTACTGGGAATACCATTGCTTTGACCATGCGGACTTTTGTTGGCAGGGTGATGTCTCTACTTTTTATCATGCAATTTAGGTTCACCATCGCTTTCCTCCCAAGGAGCAGGCGTCTTTTAATTTCATGGCTGCTGTCACAGTCTGTGGTGATCTGGGATCCCAGGAACGTGAAGTCTGTCACTACTTCCACGACTTCCCCTTCTGTTTGCCAAGGAGTGATGGGGCCGGATGCCATGATCTTAGTTTTTTTGATGTTGAGCTTCAAGCCCACTTTTTCGCTCTCCTCTTTTACCCTGAGCAAGAGGCTCTTGAGGTCCTCTTCACTTTCAGCCATTAGAGTGGTATCGTGTGCATATCTGAGGTTTTTGATCTTTTCCCCAGCAATCTTAATTCCCACTTGTGATTCATCCAGACCAGCATTTCACATGATGTACTCCGCATATATATTAAATAAGCAAGGTGACAATATACATCCTTGTCGTACTCCTTTTCCTATGCTGAACCAATCAGTTGTTCCATAACTGTCACTTCTTGGCCCTTATACAGGTTTCTCAAGAGACATGTGAGGTGGTCTGCTACTCCCATCTCTTTAAGGACCTGCCATAGTTTGTTGTGATCCACACAGTCAAAAGCTTTAGCATAGTCAATGAAGCAGAAGTAGATGTTTTTCTGGTATATATAAGGTATTCCCCCTTTTATAGTATCTCTTGGAAAAAACCTAGTCTTGTGTATGATTATTGGTGCTTTTGGGATTCCCCAGAAAATCAGTTGCTTTCAATGCTAGGAATCAATTGCTTTTGTTTGTATTTTGAGTAAAAAATAATATTGTTAATTGGGTTTGCCTGTGTCCTTTATAAAGTTTATATCTCCGGTACCTGGCATTACATTGTATGGTACACATAGCCCTGCCCGACAAAATGACACTTATTTCAGATACGGCCCTCATAACAAATGAGTTTAACATGTCTGTGCTAGAGAATATAGCATCAGCCAAACCACCTACAATTGTAGAATTTTTGTGAACAACAGTGTATGTTGTTATAGATATTTTTCTTCCACTCCCTAATCCTTTTATTGCCACACTGCCACACTGACACTTTTTCTTCCACCTGTCACAAAAGAACTTGCAAAATAAACAATTTTTCAAAACCCTCACAACCGCCCACCCAGCGGTTCGAAAGCCAAGTAACTATCTATCGGCGAGTAGATAAATGGGTACCCACCCTTAGTAGGGTGGGGGGCACCCTCCTCCGTCTATGGAGGTGTGTGGAGAAGCAGCGGCACTGGCAGCAAGGGCGGCGATAGCGACGGTGAGAACAGCGGCGGCAGCGGAACAACGGCGGTGGCGATTGGAGGAGGCGGCGCAACGCTGAGAGGCGGCAAGTGGCGGCGAGCAGAGCCTGGCTGATCCCTGGTGGCCAGCGGCTGCCGTCGACGGAGGCTGAGTGACGTCATCCGGAGGCGCGCGGAGCCGAAAAGGACATGGTCGGGCCGAGGACGACGTCGCCGGCGTTCCCTACACACACACCCCGTCTGCCTGAGCACCGGACATCGTGCAGCCAGAAGAAGCTGAGCCGAGGAATGCTTTCACCAGGGTGTCGGTAGGGAATTCCCCCCCCTTGTACCAATGTGTGGCCGTAGTTAGGGTCGATATAGGTGATTAGCACCGAAGAACTGTAAACCGCCCAGAGACCCCTATGGGGGTTAGGGCGGTATATCAAGCCGAAGGATAAATAAAATAAAAAATAAAAATAAAAATGTGCAGTTGTACAAAAAAATAAGCAGATGTGCATATATTTGTTTGTATTATATATGAAGAATGACCATTTCTCTGGGGAGCTGGGTTTGTTTGATATAAAACCTGAAAGAGAGAATGTTGTTCTCCACACAACACAGATCAACCTAACATACTATGGAACTTTTTAAAAAAGCAGGAAAACAAGTGACATTAGACTTCAAGAGGAAAATAAATTATGAAGTACAAGTATCTGAAAGGGAGATGCAGGCCAAAGAGAAACTACTGGTTTTATGGAGACAACCGTCTTATAAAATTTACTCCAGTGTCTCTGATACAAAAACAGAGTGTTCTTTCACAGTTGTGATCCCCCTTTTTTGACAGTGGTGTCCTCCTTACATTTTTCTGCTGGATCTTCTATTGCTTTTTTCATGCGGTACTCATGTACACAACCGCTCATCTTGGAAATGTTACCAGAGCAAATATGTTAGTAAGATGCAGAGCTATGTTTTGGGCAGGAACGCACAGGAATGGAGTTCCGGCTGGCTTCAGAGTTGGCCGCGCCCACAACAGCCAAAACCTCTGTGTGCGTGACTACAGAGGGAAGGCCTGGAGAGACACACACACACCCCGGTGAATCCGAGGCGGGTGGGCCAGGGGGACCCTGGAAGGATTGGGGAGGCATTTAAATGCCTCCCCATGCCTTCCCTGGCCTGTCCAAGGGCCGGCTAATGAGTTTCTGCTGTTGGGTGTGGCCTATTATGCTAATGAGTTCCTGCTGGGCTTTTTCTACAAAAAAAGCCCTGGTAAGATGCAAAAACCTTTGTACATCCACTAAGATTCAGGTTGACCATTCAGACAAGCCAAAATGGCTGACTTGAAAAATAGGCCATCAGAAGATATCCGACAGCTACGGTTAAAGAAACATTAAAAATTGCTTGAAATAAAATAGTACCAAAACTTCATACAAATAATACTCACCAGTGACAACAAACAAAACAAAACAGGAAGATTACAGAAACATTATTTTTCAAAATCTAGTCATTGCAAACATCTTTTCAGAACATATTTTAGAATCCTCATGCAGCTAGGGTTGCCATTTTCCAGGTGGTGGCTGGAGATCTCCTGCTATTACAACTGATCTCCAGGTGACAGAGGTCAGTTCATCTGGAGAAAATAGCTGTTTTGGAAGGTGGACTCTATGGTATTAAACTCCACTGAAGTCCCTTCCCTCCCCAAACCCCACCCCCAAAATCTCCAGGTATTTCCCAACCTGGAGCTGGCAGTCCTACATACAGTTGCAATACGGATTAAAAAGAACAAAATAAAGATGCTAGAGTTTACCGGAAGCTTATCCAGGGATCCCAACAATGTGGAGAGAGCCATGTCCATGTTTGTATGTGTAGACTCTATTTATATGTCCCAATGTGCAGGTTAGAGGCAATTTGCTGCCATGATGCCCCCTCCTCTCCCCACATGTGAATTAATTATATTTGCTTAAATTTGAATTAATTATATTTGCTTAAATGTTTAGAATGGTATATGACGCCTAAAAAGATTGCTAATATGAGTGACAATATGTCTAACAAGTGTTGGAAATGAAAAAAAAAGAAGGTTCTTTTTACCATATGTGGTGGACTTGTGATAAAGCAGTGAATTTTTGGGCGGAGGTCCATAATGAGATGCAAAAAATCTTGAAATGTACCTTTAAAAAAGAACCAGCAATATTACTTTTGGGTCTTAAAATGGAGGAAGTGAATGTAACAAAGAGAACATTGATATGGTATTTGATCACAACAGCTAGAATGACTTATGCTCAGTGTTGGAAACAAGAACGAATACCTGAGATTTGGGAATGGATAAGGAAGTTGCTTTTTATGGCAGAAATGGACAAATTGACAAGAAAACTCAATAATAAAGAAGATGAAAAATTCTTTGCAGATTGGATGGACTTTAAAGAATACTTAGAAAAACATTGGGATGTTAAGAACAATTTATTTTGCTTTGATAACTATTAAGAATAGAATGAGGAAATAGTCGAATAGAAGATGATTGTAGTTAAAGAAATTGTTACCTATAAAGTCGAAGACAAGATTAAGGTAGTTAAAGAAACTGTTACCTATTAAGTTTAGTTTTAGAGGAAGGAATGGATAAGAAAAAGAGATTTGGTGGGGGTGGGAGCACTGTGGGAAGCCTGAAGAAGGGGAGGGAGGGTGAGAGGGGAAAAGGGTATATTGTGAACGATGAAATGCTATAATATTGGACATGCTGTTATATCCTGATAATAAAATGTTTTTTTTAAAAAAAAGAAAAAGAAAGAGCTACTGCATATTATATACGTTGACTGTTTCTTTACTACATCCTTCGAATGTATTGCATTTAGAATCTCTGTATTGTTTTTTAAAAGTGTTTTTATTTCTTCATTGTGGTTTTAGGAATGTATTTTGATGCCATTTTACTGTATACAGTCATTAATTTTATCTTAGCATGTAATGATCTTATTTTAAAAGTTTCCATTTGGGGTCAACCTGAGTTGTCACTTGCTGGGTATACCTCTGTATAAGATTTTCTCCCTCCATAACAGTTTATTTTTTCCCTTCTTTAGCTAGGGTGTTAATAAAATGATTGTAACAATTTCATTTTTAAAAACCCTTACAAATATTTAATCCAACCTTTAACCACACAGTTGATACAATTTGTACTGCCTGCACAGTTATATGGATGAAAGAAGAGCAGTAGTTCATTGGCATTTTGTGTTTAAGACAGGGGTCATTTCGTAGAAAAAGTGCTAGGGGGACTCATTAGCATAACTCATTAGCATATGCCACACCCCCTGACATCACCGGAAGTGTGTCCTCCCACAGCCGGCGGCGACCTCCAGCGGGCACCAGCAGGGAGCTCCAGGCCCCGCCCTCCTGCACCTCACCCGGGGGGATGGCGTCCCCCCGCGTCCCCCCCCAAATGACCCCTGGTTTAAGAAACTAAGAAATAATTCACATAGATTTCAAAGCAAAAAGAAAGGTAATATAACATATTATGCATTAGATAACATCTTATACATTCATTACTTGTATATTCATATGTAAACATACTGGAGGTAAGGAAGTGCCCCAATTCAAAAGTTCATCTCTGAAAACAGGCAAAGGGGAAGGCAACTCAAGATGTGCAAATTTTTTAAAAAATGCCAGAAAAGCCAAGAATATGGACAGGAACTTACCAGGATTGAGATCAAGAAAAAAAAACCTATCTCTGAAGTTTCTGTTGGGGTGTCCTGTAATGTATTGTTTTATTTTTTATTTTTGTATATATTTTAATTGGATTTTCAATACCATGCATAAACCTATAATATGTTTGAATAAACAGTCCCTCCAGTTATTACCTTATATAAATAATATCTAAACAGCAACAAGTCCACCCAATATTACATTTACCTTCTTAATCAATCATAAACATAAACTAGCAACAAGTCCACCAATATTACATTTACCTTCTTAATCAGTCATAAACATAAACTAGAACAATTTTTCCAGTGCATACATCCATTATCAATATTTTATAATTCTCTTTATCAACCTTATTTTCTTAAGACAGTCCACTATCTGAATTTCCACTTATTCCATCAATATTAATTTTCCTACCATTTAATTTTTATGTCATTTTAAATTAAATTGTTTTTATTCTATTTTAATTTTTTGTTTCTTTTTATTTTAATTTTTCCAATATTTTCATTGTTTACCTCCTGCCTATTCCAGTCAGGATTGTTCTTTAAAGTCATTAAACTTTTAAAATATTCTATCTAATATTTTAAACTCATTTATAGAACAGCCAATAATCCAAGCAGTATATATGCATTTCAACATTAATCAAATCAATCCATTCATATTTTCATAGTAAGACATAATCCCTTCATATTAACCAAATTTATCGAAGAGCCAATTATCCAAGCACTACTGTAATGTATTGTTTTAGAAGGTGTTTGCATTTTTTCGGGGAAAGCACACAATAAATCATTTTAATGAAAAGAGCATCTTCCACTATACCATTAAATAGTGGACCAAAAATGAGTCTTGGTAGACAAGAAGTTTCATTAAAATTCCTGGGATTTTTCATATGTAACATTATGAATGGGAAGAAAAGGAAGCCAAATTTATTATGACGTGTCTGGTAACAAAAGTTAACAAGTTATTAAGTATGAACTCACCATTTCTTCCACTGTTGCAGGGCCTTTGGATCTTAGTCGAAGAGTTTCTTTTCCCCTGGTGATTTTTCCATCAGCAAAACTTCCACCTTTGGACCTTGGTTCAATCATATCTGCAACAGACATATCATGTAAGTAATTTGGAATTTTATTCCAAAAATAATTCTTTTTGTTCAAGATGTCATCAAAAGCAAAGTCAAAATTAAAATGATATACACAATATGTTGAAATTTAGCAAACACCTTAACTGAATGTAATCTGGGCCTTGCTTTATACAGGTTTGTATTTGCAGTACTAGCTAAGCATGGGGGGAAAACTGATTTATTGAGCCACTGGTAGCTGCAGTTACTTAGTGGGCCAAAAGTTGTAAAAGCCTGTTTTAAATTTTACCTTCAAGATACATAGCCTCTTATTTGGTGGCAAAATAAGTGGTTTTATTCTATTTGGAAAAAAATAATTTAAAAAAACAACAACAACCAGGGCTACCATTTATGGTATACTCCTATACATGTCACTCACCAAAGGATTTCAGTGGTTCTATCAGTCTTAGTGTGAATGTCTGACCCTTCTCCAAATCCTTTAAATTCTTAGCAACTTCATAATGACGACAGCCCACGACACTTTTTCCATTTATAGATTCTATGTGGTCACCAACACATATCACTTGTATTTGGTCAATAAGGCTGCCTGCTTTAATTCTCTGTGAGATAAAAAGAAATTATATTAGTTGAGATTGATGCTGTAAACAGATTGGTCCACAGAACCATGCTGTATCAAGTGCGGGCACAGACAAAAATACTAACCATGAATATCACTGAGGCTCAGGAAGTGAATAAGAAAGCAAAGGGAAGACCTTAAGTATAAAGATGTGCAGTTGCCCCACCTAACCAGCAGTGTTCCCTCTAAGCTGAGCTAGTGTGAGCTAGCTCACAGTTTTTTAGCCTCCAGCTTACACATTTTTGTCCTAGCTCAGGAAGGATGGCTCCAGAGCCAACTAATTTATGCAGTAGCCAAATGGCTCACTCACAACTTTAATTCCAGCAGCTCACATAGTTGAATTTTTGCTCACAAGACTCCACAGCTTAGAAGGAGCATTGCTTACCAGGTGTTCTCCACACACAAATTTTCAAAATCCCATGGGCTTGGGAGGAACCTTTGCTTCTTTTCATGGTTGTAGTGGCAATATATATAACTATATATTTTTCAAAAATACAGCTCAGACCTTAAAGATAATGAAGCAGGGGGCGTGGCTACGCGAGCTTCAATGGCAGACGCATAACGGCTCATCTCCCTACCCACTCTAAGACGCTTCAACCTCCTTCTACGACGACTATTTTACCTGCAAACATCATGGGGGGAAATGCTAATACACGAGCGAAAAAAATATCTACAGCCCCAATACAGATGACAAAATTCTTTGCCAAAGAAAATGGGAACTCTACAAAAGGCCACGCTTCAACGCAAGCACCTAAAATGGTGGACGCCAGTACTCTAGAAGACGACGGAACTGTTCTTTCTCGGTACAACTTCTTCACTACCATACAAAAATTAGAAGAAAATATTGCAGAGCAAGTTCATCAGGCCATTAAACCTCTAACTGAAGAACTCCAGTCCATAACTGAAACCTTCTCCAAAGTCTCGCAAGCAGCGGAAACGGCCTTGGAGGGAGCCATAACAGCACAACAAGAAGTTCAAGATCTTCAAAAATCAGAGGACTAGGCACGGACTAAAATCATGGCACTTGAAAACAAATTAAAAGAACAAAATTTGAAATTTAGAGGCCTACCGGAGAAATCAGAGGGTGAGTTGGAACTTAAGATTTTTTTGGCTAACTGGTTAGCAAAAGTTCTAGAATTGGAAGAAAATGTAGCCCCCCTCATAGACACTGCGTTTCACCTTGGCCCTATCACCAAAAGAATGGAAAAGTACCCTCGGGACATTGTGGCTACCTTCCCAGACAGCTGTACTAGGAACCCCATACTCAAAAAATCGAGGCTAGAAGGCAGCCTTTCCTTCCAAAATTCAAAAATAATCACTCTCTTAGACCTCTCTTCTGAAACTCTCCAGCACAGACAGAACCTAAAAATAATTACCCAGAAATTAATTGACAACAAGATTCATTTCCATTGGACATCTCCCACAGAACTCTTAGTAATTCATCAAGGACAAAGATTGCAAGCCAACGACGTGTCTAGTGGATGCCAACTTTTAACATCTTTAGGCATAGAATTTGATCTTCCAATGCCTTCCTCACCTGAAAATGTGACTCCCAAAGATGCATAAGCATTCCAACGATGGATCCAAGTCAAACGAAAACACAAACCACAAACTTGAAGTACTTTTATAACATGCTAACCATACCATATTGAAATAACCAAATAGCGAATATTTTCTTTGGTGAAGTAACCTTAAATAATTTCTTTAACTGTTTAATTTAAGTATAAACGTATTTTGTATTAAGTTATATTGAAGTAATTATTTGATTGGTGATAATAACCTAGTTAAGTTAACCTTAATATAAGAGATTGCTTCTTAGAGGGTATTATATAGTAGCAAATTATATTATTTGTTTAGAGATCTAGTTCAAGTCAATAGCCTATGAAAATTAGAGCAGTGAAGTTTATTTATAATTGATATTAAGTTATATTGAAGTATTTATTTGAATGGTGAAAATAACCTAATTCAGTTAAATATAATATATGTGACTGTTTTTTAAATTAATGGTGCTTAATAACCTAATTTTCCTTTATCCTTTAGCTTATGAGACCATCATTTAAATGAGAAATGTTTAAGATGGCTTGTTTCTTTTTTAGTATAATATGATGGCATAATCAACCTATGACTTGGAAATAGGATGATTTACTTAGTGAGATATATTTTAATAATTTCACTATTTTAACAATTTAATTATTTAATATCTAATTTATTTTCTATAAAAGGGAAAAATATTATAGAACATACAAGGGAGCAGTTGTGTAACTCAAAAATTACTTATATAAAAGATAACATTTGTAAATATTGATTTGCAAATGCATTTTTGACTATTTACCAAATGAAACTTTCAGATGTTTATTTTTAATACTTTTATTTCAAACGTGATTAAAAATTTAAATTTATTATATTCCAATTCATTTAGCTTATATAAGCTAACCCATTATAAAAATGTGTCATCTAAATGAGATACTATTTATAATTGAAGAAGTTATTTATTTTTATTTAAAGTGAATAGATTTTATTATTCCTATTTTTTTAATTTCTCAAGTAGAAGGTAAAAGATCATGTTTAGATTATTCATTGTGGGAGGAGTGATGGGGACCTACCTTTATCCCCCTTGTTTACTAAATTAGTGGACTGTGAGAGTCACAGTCCACCAGCTACAGCCCTTTCTTACTAGGGCGAGCTTAAATTTTCAACCCTCATTAGAGAGGGTGTTTGGTTGATTATTTGCATTGATTGAAGGTTCATGTTTGTAATACACTTGGTTATCATAGACTGCGGTCACACGGAGCATTAGCCACGCTACAGAGATGGAAGATAGGCGGATTTTCCAGGCACGATCACAGTGCCACATCTGGGAAGCGTAGAGCTCCCATGGCTCACTCGAGGCTTCCCGCCGAAGATGCGGGGTAAAAAACTAGTACCTCCGAGGTACTAGTTTCCGGAAACCATGGGGCAAGGGCGGGTGTCTGATCACGTTTCTGGTGGCATCCAGCACCCCCCCATGTCCCCTCGCAAAAAGGTTTCCCCCCCAAATCTCCGTGGGATGCACAAGAGCACCCAACGGAGCATGCGCACACTTCAGTTTTTTAAAAAACACAATCCCGTTTGCCGCCCCGCCCCACTTCTTTGCCTGTGGTGTGATACGCACCTCCCCCCTAACCACGGGACCTCGACGGGACCTCAACTGGATGTCTGATCACACAGTCGTGCGTTATTTTGCTCCGGGGAAAACAGCCACGCTCCCCCCCCCACGCGCGCGCATTTTCCAGCCCATGTGACCGGGGCCATATTTTTGTTTTTCTACGGTACAAGTAACATCAAAAATTTTTTTTAAAGATTATTGGTCAAATTAAACCCTTTTAATAATAGCAAAACTTTTTTGTTCAAAGTAGCCATGGAGAGATTTTTTATGAAGGGTCAGTTATTCTCTAACCTACAGAATGGTCAGATCCTGTTAAGGTATTTAAAACTTTCTTTATTTCATTTTTATAAAAGATAATGGATACCCCTATAAAAATTATTTCCCTTAATTGTAGGGGCTAGAATAATAGAATCAAAGCCCGAAAATTAGCATCTTCTTTGACCAAAATGCATCCTGATATTTTATTTTTGCAGGAGACACACATCAAAAAATCAAATTACCCTATTTTAAAATCAAAATGGTTTGACACTCAATTTCAAGCGACTGGTACATCAAACTCTAGGGTTGTAGCCATACTGATTTCCAAAAATACACAATTTAAATGCCTAGCTCAATCTCTAGATACCAGAGGCCGGTTTATATTTTTTAAAGGACTTTTAAATAATACACTTGCTTCTATCTATGCCCCAAATTCAGGCCAAGAACAATTTATTACTGATACTCTATTACAGTTGAAAAATTTCAGGAAGGACAAACAATAATAGGAGGAGACTTTAATTTCATCCCAGATGCTTTTTGGGACAGATCGCAAAACGTTAAGACAAACAGTAAGCATAAAAATAACAAAGAAAAGATCTCCTTCCTACAAAATCTTATAGAGTACCACAATTTAGCAGACGTGTGGAGACAACAACACCCTGGCATTAAGGATTTTACATATTTTTCACCTAGACATAATGTCTTTACTCGCATAGATCTCATTTTAATTACCACTTCCTTACTCAATCAGGTCCAGCAAGCAGAAATTGGTCTTCGGACACTTTCTGACCATGCCTGGACTGAATGTTTATTTAATATACATACAGAAGACAAAAGCGCACGTACTTGGTCTTTGAATAACAATATTTTATTCAGTCAACAAACTTGTTCAGACATAGAAAAAGCTATTACAGAATACTTTGATTTGAATTCCTCTTGTGGGGTACACATTCATATAGTTTGGGATGCCATGAAAGCCGTCATTAGAGGGAAGATAATTTCTATTACATCAGCCTACAATCAAAAATGAAATAAATTACAAAAAGAACTTTTGAACACTATTAAAACTTTAGAAGAAAAGCATAAAGCGACAGGGTCAAAAAAGGCCTACAAACATCTTCTTACAGAGAGAAAAAAATTAGACGCATTAGAAACAACAGTAATACAAAAAAGCTTACTTTATACCAAACAAAAATATTGGTTTCACCATCCAAGAACCCTGAAGCTGTTAGCTTGGAAACTAAAAAAAAAAAAACCCTCAAAAAATATATATTCCCTTAGGCATCCAGAAGGAAACCTTATTACAAACACAAAAGATATTCTTGCAATTTTTAAACAGTATTATCAAACTCTATATAGTACAGATCATCCCTTTGAGGGGAAAATTAAATCTTATTTACAAAGTAATAAATTGGTAAAAAAATTAACCCCCACACATATTAAACTATGGAAGAACCTATAATGATTAAAGAATTAACTAATGCCATAAAACAGCTAAAAAATAATAAAACTCCTGGACGGCTTTACAGATGAATTTTATTAAAAAATCGAGACCTTAATTTCTTCCCCATTGAAAGATA